AGATGTCATAGAGCTTTATATGGCCTAGATGTCATAGAGGATTATTATGGCCTAGATGTCATAGAGCTTTATATGGCCTAGATGTCATAGAGGATTATTGGTCTTTGAATGGCCTAGATGTCATAGAGGATTATTGGTCTTTGAATGGCCTAGATGTCATAGAGCTTAATGCACAATTAAATTTTTCTGGCATAAAAACAAATTAATTAAATAGTAGAGCCGTGATTTGGTCTACCCCCAAAGTTTTAAGATATATAACTGTATAGTTTTAATATACAGACAGCTTTATTGGTTTAAAATTGTTGAATAAGACAAAGCTAAATTTTTAGCAAATAAAGTGTTTTAATCGATGTTCAAATAAGTATTGATATTTTCAATCATTTTATAATTATACATTTTAACACATTTTTGTGTCATGATAGCTACATGTATTTGGGATCTCATATTATGCCAAACAAAATTTTCAAAATTAATTTATTTATCAGTCTCTGAAATTATAGATACATTGTACAAGAAAATCAGTATTCAACTATTACAATCAATTATATTTTAAATAAACAACCTAGAAATATAACATATTGTTAATTTAATCATGTATCCAGGAATATTATCCTAAAACAATAAAAATACGCTAATTTAATGACAATTTGTGGAAGTAAGACAGTAAATTAATTTAAAATAATATTTTCTTTTACATAAAATATTCAAGGTAAACTAAACGATTTATAAATCATTTTCTGGACTTTTATTTTAGTTTTTGTCACTCGTTAGACTTTTGGCCATCCTGTGGTTTCGTTTCTTGTACTCGGTGCTGCCGTCATTGATATTTAATAAGTCTTAATAAAATCACCCTATCTCTTGACGTTGATAACTGAGGGACTTCTATAACCCTGAGTTAATAGAAAACGTAAATCACTGAATATTACCCGTTGAAATCAAGCCTGTTCATCATAGTCTATCGATCCAACTGCCATGATGCAAATACTTCCATTCATTTTCCCAAACCTGTGGAACTTTTACACAGTAGTTTCTGAAAATAATATTTCGAACTCAAACTCAAAGTTTCATAGAATCATATATTGATACATTTTGGATTTCTTGAAATAAAACTAAATGTACTCCTCCCAGTGGAACAGCAGTAAGTTCACAGACTTACAACGCTGAAATTCGGAGCTAGATCCCCCGCGGTAAATATAACAACTAAGAAAATGTGGCTTTGTTAATAAAAACAAAAACAAAGTTATTGCTAGGCTTAAATTTTATGTAATGAAAAGTCAGAGCATAAAGGGCTTTTTGGATTTATAAATTTTTGTCCTTGACATGTTTCTACTAATCGTACAATTGATTTGTGATTTTTAAAACAAAAATTAATCAAACTTAATAAACGACTAGGTACATTTGATCAACAGTTCAAAATTGCTCTCTATATATTCTGATTTTCTTTTAAAAAATAAATTTTACTTTCTGCGTATCAAATGGTTAACTTTGCATATTATGTTCGTAATTATGGTTAAAACATTAGTAGCTAAGCAACATGTAGCTGTATTGCAATCTATCAATCAAGACAAGTTATTTCAAGAACAGTTATTCATACTTCAAGACATCTTGGTCCGTTATATTTTCTAGGAGTGTCAGAATCAGAAAGATTTGGGATTTCAAATGTCATTATGAATATGTTGGGGTAGTCTGAAGTTATTTTGTTAAATCTGTCAGGTGCAAAGGAAGTCATTTCGTCCTTGCAGATAAATGGTTGTAGAGAACTCACAGATTGTTTGGCTGATGCCGAAAGAGGGAATCCCCAAAACTCAAATAAAGGAGCGAGATTGTAGTTAGCTGCATTGGAAAATCGGGTGTACCAGAGGTCAATCTTGGCTTCATTAGTGACTGGTTTTGAACCAGTATCTGTTTCGTACTTTCGAAAAACATTTTTATAGGGGTCCCATCCGAAACAATGGGCTAGTTGAGCGTAAATTCCCAATGCCACTCCAGCTTTGCCTTTCCAAGTGTTGAAATTGGCACCTGCAAGGAGATATCTTTTTATATCTCCTAACTGATCTTTCAGCCATTCGTGAATCCATATGGGCACATTACATACCACATCCATAGCATACAATGTGAAAATGTTACACGTTACCTCTCCTGTACCTTCAAAGCTCCATTCTCCTCTTTGCATGTTGTGACCAAATTCATGAAAATATCCCCAGCTTCCCTTAGACCTGTTATTTTCTGTGTTGAGCACAAAATATTGTCTGTTTGGATCTGCAACATCCATATGAGTAACAACAGGGTAGCCTGCGTGCATGTAACCTGCTGATGGTTGCTCGTCAGGAACCGCCCACTGACGACGATGTAGAGTAATATCTGTTCCACGAAGGTAATGGTAAGCTTTTAACACTTGATCCCAAAATGTCATGGCGTCTGTAGGATAATCAAGTTTTCGAATAGCTGAAGATGGGAGTGTCACAATTACATACTCTCCTACAATGTCTGCCCAAAGTCCTGGTGCAAATCTGCGATGTTGCCAAAGTGAATTGGCTTCTGGATTTTTGATATCAAATAGGGGAGACTGTACCACCGAATCCAACTCAACATTTAGAGATTTTTTCCCATCTGGGCTTTCAAAGTATATAAGGCCTCCATAAGGGCTTGAAATCGTTGTCTCACCCTGTTCAAGAGCTTGTTCAACCATTATAGATGGCCAGCGCCTCCATGCTTCATTAATGTAAGTTAAGTTGTCGCTATGACAACCAATACGTAGTTTCCATCCTTGAACATCAGAGTTTTTTACAATTACTGTCATTTCCTGTCCAGCAGGTAGGTAGTAACCAGTAGGATGGATATCCTTCAAAGTAGAAGTTAAGGAAATGGTAGCTCGGGTTAAGAAAGGTGGTGATTCAAAATCACCTGGAAAGTATTCAATTCCTGAAGCCTTTCCACCATTCACCCTCAGAAGTAAGTCATACAATATTAACATATCTTTAGAAGATCTCGAAGATATAGGAGTTTTTGGAGAGGGTAGAGGGCTTTGCTTAATTTGTTGTTCACATTTGACAAAAAAATCTTGAAAGTTGCTGACGGAAGTAAGAAGGTCTTTGGGTATAAGAGTAATCATCGATGTAATTCTACTAGCCTCTTGTTGTAATTTCTGTTGGCTCTCTTGAGCCTGCTGCATGAGTCTTCCAAGATGTGCGTTTGATGCCAAATTATCTTGAACTTTAACTTGTTCGTCACCTGAGAAATAATCATTGGTAAAACAAAGTCCAACTTTTTTGAGGAACTGGTAATGTGGAATAGAATCTGTTGTCATTCCAGTTATTTGCATTAACCCCCAAGGAGTTTCAGCAATAAATAGAGCTCCCCCAGATAAAACAAAGTTTTCCACTTTTTGAAAAAAACTCGGGGATTCGGCTCGTCCAGAGGAATGCACAATAGCAATGTTTTCATTAACTTTCAGAACTGGAAATGTGGTCCCGCCTTTCACTCGTATAAGCTTCACATTCTGTGGGTTCTGACCCTTAACCAACCAGTTAATCACATTACCTCTGAGCTGGGAAAACCAACTTTGATTGGACTCAAAGGCATTTCCATAGGACGTGTGGGTAAAGAGAACGACCCGTCCTTTTCCGTACTCCGCTGCAGCTATTAATATGTCTTTCTCTTTCTGCCCAGTTAAAATGGGTTCAGCATTATCTCCCCACACAACGATCGTCCCCGGAATTCCCTCTCTCCGTACTGAAGAAATTCCTTTTAAGATTTCTTCTCGCCACTGAGCCATGATTCAACCTGGTAAAGAAATCCGAATCTAATGTTAGATAATGTTCACTTAAAATATATATATTATTTTCAGCTTTTCAGTACGTCGATTATCAGTAGAAATATATATTAACTTTTACGGTGCCATAAAAATGTATAGACTATGAAAAATAAACTCAGTGAATTAATTGATGAATATAAATTAAACTAAAACATTTTTATATTCTCGGCTGAACTACATGGAGTGTAAATGTGGTTTCTTAAAGTTATTAGTTGCACGATTTTTTATTTCAACTGTTTCATGATTTCTAGCCTTTATAGAAATATATAAAAAAAGAAAACTTCATAAGTGAATTAATGAAAACCAAAAATTAGTAAATTAGTGATAATCGATAATTGCCATAACGAATGATACTTTGTTGAGTTAGTAAATCATGCGCACAAAAGTTCAGGACCATTTGATAACACGTAGATTATTCACTTGTTTCAGTATTGTAGAATTGCAAATTTTTCTTTGCTTACGTTAAGACTAGGTTACAATAAAATTAGTAAATATTTTCTTAGATATCAAATTTCCACATTCTCAGTAAAATTAATATTACACAAAATGTATTTATGCTGCTATTATTCAAATGAAATTAATAAAAAATGCATGTCCTTAAAATGTGGTGTTTGAGCTTTATTATATTACAAATGAAATGCGACATGTTGATTCCAATTAGATATTAATTTCGAGTTTCTCTCTGCTAATAACAAAGTTACAAATATAAAATCATAAATAATATTCAACGTTAAACTCGTACACAATTAAAAACATTTTATTTAGGCCTATCTATGGCCTTCAAAAAGTTGACGACTCTACATGTTTCGATGTTACAGCGTCAGCCTCAGGAGTTGTAA